TTTCGGCGGTGGCACCTTCTCCAACCGGGTTCACCGTATCCCTGCCTTTTTGTTTTACGTGATCATCCACAGCCAGCGTAAAACGCTCTCTAGTGCCTCCTGCTGGAAGATCCCATCGCTGTGCACCCCCTTCCACCCCACTCCCCTCACTCGGGCTCCCCTCAGCCAGCCCACAGTCGGAGCGCCAGCATCCTAGGGCTTAGCCTAAGACTTCGACAATAGAGGATTTTAGTTTTTTTATTTTTCTTCTTCCGTTTATATCCAAGACCATTGTAACCCCCACCCCCACCAGTTCAAGAAACACCAGAAGACCCATCTGTTTCAGGGACAACTCATGCAGACCTCCAAGTGCCCACCTGCCATACACGGACCGCTCTCTGGTGTTTCCCGAACACTCTTCTTTACATTGGTCTCAGACCAAGCAGCTCTCTTATTCTCCTCTTTCCCATGCTGTCCTTTATTGTGCAACTACAATGCTAACTTACACTTCACTGGAAGCTAGTCGCCGTATGTTTGCGGCATACTTATCTCATATGGCGCTCTGGACAGACCCGTCTGGTAGATAAGTAAATGCACACATCACCGAGCCCAGAGATGAGCAAGTCTGATTCGGGGGGGGGGGCAGCACAGAGGGCGGTGATACCAACTCGCTGCGCTGTGGGTGACACGCACAGGCGAGGGAGGGGGGCAGTGCAGGCAGAGAAGCGGCCGTGAGGAGTGTACAGTCAGCCCTGATTACACAGACAACGCCACCATCAGAGGCTGCCCCCTCAGCACTGCTATTTTTAATCTCCGTGCATGTAGTTACCGTGAAGGTTTGGCTCCGCCTCCTCTGCCGTCCCTCCACCAGCAGGGTCAAGCCATCGCCCCCGGCAACCACAGCTCCTACACAAACATGGTCACGTAGCCGTGGCAACGAGCCGTACAACCCGAAGGGGGAGGAAGCGTGTGAGAGTGTGTGTGTGAGTGAGGGAGGGGAAGAGAGAGAAGGTGAGGTGTCTGTGCGCGCGCACACACACAGTCACACACACAGTCACACACACACCTAATGGCCACCTCCTTCTGAGGCTTTCCGGCTTCCTGTGACGGGGTGGGGGGCACCGTGCGCTCTGCGTGGGAGCTGCTGCCAGCCGACCGCATAACGAGAATGAAGCGTGAATGAAAGCGGCACGCGCACCTACACCTGAAGAGCCGTGCGCTACGCGCAGCTGCTCCCCTCCCGGCAGGAAGGGTAACGAGCGGTAGGTCAGTGTCAATTACAACATCCCAGATGACATGACAGAGACGCCGCTTGCTCTGAAATCCATGCAAGCAGAGGATTTTCAGAACTGTGGGGCACAGTGCCCGAGTACAAAACCTGTCCATGAATCAGGCATAAAAAATGCAGAGGCAAACTTTTCCATGGCCTCAGATGTCACCCCCGACAGCACAAGGGCCGTGCCTGTTCTACCAAATAATGACCCACTCCCCAGTGGGGCACATACTGGAGACAGGTGACTGAAGCGCAGGACACCGGACCCTCTGCCAGAGACTGCTTCAATGCTTCTCCCACTACTACCAAGCTCCCTCCAATTGCTGAAAGGGGGCAGGGATTTGCAAGACATTTGACCCCAACTATTGGCCGGTAGGCAGGGACTTTGGGAGGCACTATCGTTGGATTGGTGAACAGTGGTGATAGATGGGGAACAGCCGAGAGCATATAGGTCTCCAGCTTCCCAGCACGCTAAAGTGTTACTCTCTCAGCCTGGAGGTCCACGGTCTGATCTGGGACAGCGAGCAGGGCTGGATAAAGCTACTGCTTGGAAGGAGCTGGTGGTTCCCTTTTCAATAAAAGGGCAGGGCCTTCCTAATCTGCCAAGCAATGGAAGATCAAGGTACACGATTACTCCATGTGAGGAGGCACGATATAAATCATTTTATACAAAAAAAATAAAAAAATTTCCCCAGAAAAGGACAGACTCCTTTTCAGGTAGCACTGGAGCAGCCAGTCTGACAATAACATTCAGAGCTGAGGCATCTGAACCATAAAGGAACTGAGCTCCTTTGAAGGTCGAGCTGCCGATCCAAGCTGGAAAGGTACGTTAGCCCCCAGTGGGCCACCGACAGCTTCTGGCTGAAAATATGGCCAAAGCATGAACTTGGCCGTGATACACCCCCCAGGGCCTGGCCTGACCTGGCGTGAAATTTATGCCGCCGTGGCAAAGGTCTCTACACAAAAGTGAGGATATTGTTACGGGTTAAAATAGCATGCACGCACATACCCCCTGCGCTAACGATATTCACTGTCAAAGCCTCAGAGACTGTTATTAACGTGTAACGTAATCACTAATGGTACGCCGGTGCTGCTCTGCGTAACCGTCTGTGATTTTCATTAAGAGGGAGCTCTGGGCATCCTCAGTGACGCAGCGGGGCTTAAGAAAACGGGAATCTGTGGTATATCCAACCAGGCCGGCGGAACACAGAGCAGATCGTGCTTTTCGGCTGGCAAAACGGAGGTAAGAGAGACTCTATCGTGGACCAGGAGGCGTGGTCAGAAGTGAGCAGGCTGTGCTCACCACGGAAGGTTTTACAGCATCCACCGAGCCTTTGGAGCGGAAAGCCGGGCAGCTCCCAGCACATGAGTGCACGAATCTTGCTCATCCTCCCCTCTCGTGAGCTGAAGGGGGTGTCACGCAATAAGGAGACCCAAGACAAGCTTGATCACTACTCCAAGGCTGGGAGAAAAAGCGAAGACGAAAACTACATTTTCCATGGAAAAGGAATGAATGTCAAGACCCAAGCATATATGTGGAATTCAGCCATCGTTCAGATGCTTGTTCCAGAGTCATGGCAAACAGAACCATGGGAGAATTCTCGGCGACACTAAAGGCAGCACTGAAGCGAGAATCTTATCTCTACATCACGACCAACCCGCCATCCTTAAATTTTGACCTCATGCTTTCTGAAAGATTTTTACCAAACAATGAGCTCGGTTGTTTTTTGTGGGGAAAAGTAGAGGCCGGGGACGCAGGCAACAAAGGAGGTTAACCGGGGCTGATCTGAGACAGTCCGCCTGGATGCACACAGCCGCTGCACTGCACGTGATCCCGACCAGCCGCCCCAGCAGGGGGGTGACGGCTCTACAGAGGGGCTTACAGGGTACTTATATAATCACAGGGGCACGCCGGCCAACTGGCACACTCACTGGAGCTGCTCTGGTGCTCATCGCTTTATGCAAATGTAGCCCACACACACACACACTTATGTGCGTGCACACGTATGCAAACGCACACACACAGGCTCAAGGGACATACCTTACAGGTCCTACTCTTACCAGCCTTTTCGATTCCACTTATGGACTATATACTAATAAAAATTCCAAGTCTACGCCTAATAATGTAAAATGCAGTCCCTCACACACCATTTAATCCTACGTTACACACAAGAGAGGCTGGCCACTGTGTTATTCTCCAACAACGCACTGCTCCAACACAGCTTCTCCTGGATACACAGAAAGGAATATTCGCAAGGATCCAGAACATAAGGTTTTAAAAAAAACTTCAGAGACAAACAGCAAGATGGGCATGGGGAGGATCCCCAAGATGAACCATATAAGCTTCCCAGTACTCCCAGTAAGGCCATTCTGCTGAACAACCCTGAAGGTGAAAAACAAAAAAAAGATGCAAAACACCCACAGCAACAGCATCCACTAATGCCCCGAGCACTGGATCATGGCGTTTTACAGACACACTAAATAGATAGCCTCAGCCTACTCAGTTTACCCATAATTCCTTGGGGCCCACAACCTCCCTCAGAGCGTCGAGAGATTCACCACTGCCAAAGTACAGTGCATGGAAACACAGACTTTAACCAAATCAGGGGTGGCTCCTAATCATTATACTCCCATTACTTCCAAACAGAATACTTTTCCCCTATTTATATCTTAACCATCTTGGAGAGACCGACACAGAGGAAAGTGAATTCGCCTATACAAAAAGTTAAAACAAACATTGTGTATTCTCTCAAATTAGCCTTTGCAATTTATAGTCAGTGTGTCATTGTCTTATATTTTCCTTATCTGGCTCAAGCATTAGCCAAATGTGAATTTTTGTCTGGAAAACAACAGCTGAAATCTAAAGGGGTGGCTGAGGTGTCTGTGTGTAATAGGTAAGGCGTTAGAAGTTAGTTCTTCATAGGCACTCAAACCCTGCTGAAGTCTCTCAAGCGTTACAGTTCATGTAAGTGGGAGATCCGATGCCGGCAGATAGCATGAGCAGGCAAGTGCGGAGCCGTGCCAGGGCTCTGCACACAGCCGCATTGATCGCAGGGAAGCAGCCGTCAGTCACCCTCCATCTGGCCCAACAAACGCGGAACCACCACAACTTGAAATCACAAGAATTCAATTCAAATAGCCACATTTCCCGGAATCAAATTACGCAGTCATGCCAGAGCAATCGGATCCCAGCTTCTTTAAGCTTCAGCGTTAAAAAAGTGCGTCTCACGGACGTAAACGGCTCCGTAGACCACTTATGAGGAGGTCAAGGGCGACAGCGTAAAAACTGTACGACACATTTTTTAAAAAGCTGGAAAATCACGCTCAGCTAGATCGTGGGAACGTACAGCTTCGCAATTTCAACATTTTGTGCCTCATGGTGCCCATCGCCATCATCCTTAAAGCATGAATGAAGGGGTGAATGAATGAACAGATGAATGCAAGGATGAATAGATAGCCGAAGATGAATGAATAGATGAATGAATGCATATTTGTTCGTGCGGCATGAGGAAAGCCTTTGTATTTTTTCACCGATCCAAGTTGCACAAATACATGACTTGTCGTGTCAGATTTATGTCGGAGCCTGCGCTGCATTAGAAAGTTGTCCGGTAGGCGGGCAACAAACCAGCAGGAGGCCGAACTGTCAATGTCAGCTGAAGCCAAGTCGAGCAGCTGACGGCTTTATCTGCACCGAGAAGAGCGACGGGCAGGCAGCTGCGAGCCGCCCCCCAAAGACAGCGGCACTTACCAAGGGTCGAACTCGTGGATGATGCTTTCAAAGCGGATCACCGCGAAGAGTCGGGAGCTGAAGCCAGCCAGCCAGGCTAGGAAGAGAATGGTGAACGACAGCAGGGACTGCCATGCCGCCGGCTGCGTCAGCCCGCCGGACAGGCCTCCGCTGCCTGAGACCGGGGCCCCGGCACCGGGAGTAGCCTTGTGCTTGCTGTCGGCGACCGTGTTTTGCTCCGCCATGTTCTGCGCGAGCCTCCGTGCGTCTGGATAGTAAAGACAGCCCCCCACCCCCGGCCCCGCGTTCCTTTCTTGAAATCCTCCGCCCTAAGTCAGTCCCTTCCCGCACGACAACTGCACCCTCCACCAGTATTCACTACAGCCGGCTCTCCAGCGCTGCGACCGACTGGTTCTCCAGCAGTGGAGGCGGGGAGATAAGGGGGACAGCAGGGCTGACAGGAAACGCTCGTAGCCTCTCACAAGACGACAGGTACGACGAAGCGGTGCACGCCCCTGCCTATCCAAGGCCAATCCCAGACGGGCGTGGCCATGACTGACGACGCTTTTGCCCAATTGAATGACAGGTGTCCCGGCTTTCGGTTGGAGCGCCGTCTGCACAGAGGGGATGTTTAAAGTCACCAATCCCATTCCAAGTAGGCAGTCACGGAGCCTTCTTTCGGCCAATCGGCTCCCACGAACCGTGAGCGCCTACTTCCACTGAACCAATAAAGTAAATTAATTTCAAAACAGCAGAGGGAGGGTGAATCCAGTAATACGAGAAACGAATGGAAAAAGAACGAGCTGTGGTAGATTTACTTAAGAGGAACAATCTGTTCTTTGCTTTTCCAACAGTAAAAATATGTTTCGTATTTGTTTGTCCGTTGTTGCTCTTAGATGTAATAAATTATTACTGTTTACATGGGTTCACGTTTATACACTGAAACGACCGATTTAAGATTTAGTACCGCCAACGTTGCTTTAACGTACTTCCTCCTTTTTGTTAAGGTGTCCAGTACATCTTTATTATGCGTACCACAATTACGTGGCGTTACCCAGCATGTAATCTTGGAATGGAAACACGTAATATTTAAGACAATCAGTGGTTATAATAAAGGTTTTACACTCTAGAATAATACAATACATTTCAGCATTCTGTAGTTTTGAGTATTGATAAAAAAAACAAACTTCTATTTGAAAACAAGGAAACTTTGGTGCAGCAGCTGCTTATGTGTCCCTTGCATGTTTGAGATGAATGGGGATATGGAATCCAGACCCCTTTCAAATCACCACGCAAAGCTTCAAGAGGCAGCAGCTTGGACAGATTGCCTTGAGAAGATCCCCTCCAAACTGCTCACCAAGACAATCCCGAAATGTGTTGGTGGGTACAGATCAGTATGAAAAATTATGACCAGCTGATAGAGGATAGTCTACAGTGCTTGCAGTAAATGCTTTTATCTGTATGTTTAAGTATGTTTTTATTCAAGTAGACTATGGAGAGCATTATTGACCACAGCCGGGATTAACTGTCTTGTTAAAAAGCAACATTTTCACCACTACATTATCATCTAGACTCGTATGACCAACATGTTTAATGAGGGAGATACCAGGCCAATGTGTTCCATATAGCAGATATTCTGTCCACCATAAACATTTCCTCAATGAGTTTTGTGACCCGTCTCTCTCCGAGCCCAAGTGTTTACGTTTAGGACCCAAGAATTACCTTTTCTCTGTGTTTTATTACCCTTCTTGACACAAAAGTGCAGGAGGTCAAGTTCTTTATGCTGTAAGAGTCTGTTTGTATGTCAGAAATACTGGCGTAATTAGCATAAAACTGGATAATATCTGTGTTGAGAGGGGTTCTTTGCATTGATTTCCATATTCATAAAGACATGCAGACAAATGTTAACCAACAGGATACCAGTGTCTTAAAGCAGTTTGGCTTCTGCAGGTTTCCATGTGATTAATGAAGCCACTATATGCAGTATTTCTTCAAGAAATTGAAGAAAGACCTCAGTCCCTCTGCTGTGACACTTCATACACTGACTTCATGCTAAATATCCGCTCATGCATATGGATGGCCATATTCACATAATTAGCTACTAAGCATGTTAAAAGAGCTTGGTCTGGTCTTTTAATTTTTAGTTAATCAGCTCCAGTGTGTCCTGGGGCTTTGGCCATAGTGCTATCATCATCATTATGATACTGAATAGAGATATAATCACAGACACAGCGATGTAGCACAAGTAGGCCTGAAAATATCTCAAAATGGACGTATAAAAAAGTCTTTAATGGGTTCCATGGACAAAGGACAGTCTCATGGAAATTAATCTTCACTGAATCATCATAGCAGCCACATGCAAATTGCCACAAATTCCCCCAGCCATGTGACGTTACCGATTTCAGCCATTTCACCTGTATCTTCTCTCCTTCAGAATCAAACCTGTGAACATTTGTTCACAAATCCGGCTGCTTCCACCACTTCACAGAATGACCCTCAGCTGGTGTGTGTGGTCTTCTAGTCCTGTCGCTCTCGCTACACATTGTTGGGTATAGACCAGCATCCAGAAAAGTAGTTGTCTACATTCCATTTCTTACTGCTGCCAAATCCCACAGGTGTCAGCACCCAAACCCTGAACCGGTTTCATCCTCCTCAAATCATACTGATTACATTCTGGCACACCCAGTGGTCACCCATCTGTTTTGAAGTGTGAATTCGGACTGTACCAAGATCAGACTGTACCCAAGCTGAGCTACAGTCCAGCTAAACCACTAGGGGCACTGTTGCTGAAGTACAGTAATGGTATCACAGGTGTTATGGCATTTTAAAGACAATTAGCTCTAATTTTCCTGTAACATCCCAAACCAGACTAGGCTATTACACTAGGCTATTACAATGCTAAGACTGCCAGTAAGCTTGTAGAAAACCAAATGAGATTTATTTTACCTAGTCATGTTTGGGCTGGAAAATCCAGACTAATGTGCACAGTAAGATACGAATGTAACATGTTGTAATAATCTTGCACTAAAAAATAAAGAGATGTTTAAATAGCATGTGTTGACATTCTCAGGAGTATCAGGTTATAAACACTGGGAGTGTTTGAGTTGAAGGGATTCCTGGCCGTGGGACAAATTGAAGGGGTTCCTTGATGAGCCGAGGGCCATGATCGTATCACTGAGAGGAAGTCCCTCTCTTACTGTGCCAGAGGCCACATATGACCCAGAACCTTCCAGTATCAGTTCAAGACTGGTAGAAAAATTTCTCACCAGCTTTATCAATGATACATGCACCTCCATCAAAGCAGACCTCTCTTTATCCTCTGATGTGTGGGATAAAAGGCAGGCTTCCCTTTTCACAGCAAACCCCAGGAGACAGAAATTAAGACTGGCGGGAAGACAGAGAAGGTCAAACTAATTCAAAGGACAAGAAAAATAAATCATTTCAAATCTGGAATCAAACCCCACAGCAAAGCATTTTAAAAGTTTATAATTTCTCTGATACTCAAAGAGCATTTATATTGCTGTGATTCAGTTGCTTCTGCATGAAAAACTGTTTTTTTCCCCTATCTGGTCTCTTTGTAATACAAATTATGCTAGTGGTATTAGCAGTTCTTGTAATAGCAATAGTGTTTTTGATTGTCGTTTTAGTTCCCTGGTTGTTTCCTGGTGATTGCAATGGCAACGTTTTAGATGCATAGTATATCAGAAATATTAGATGCATAGTATAGTAATTAGTAGTTAAGTTCGTGATAGCAGTAATTGCAATAATGGGTAGTGTGGTGATGGCCACAGCTATACAGTCAGAGGTCAGAGCTCCGAAATCTACATGCTTGGCATCCGGGGATTCAACCAATCATGGTTTGAAAAAAAAAAATATATATATATATATAAAAAAACATCCAGAAAGTTCCAAAAACAGAAAAGTGAACTTGCCATATGTCAAGCTCTACAATGAAAGTAGATTTTCAGTAGACTCCCATCATTTTTAGTCAAATGTTTGGGCGGCTGAAAAGGAACGTGACTTCATGTATACTTTCCTGCTCCTACCATTCTGGTTTCCCGTATCGGTGAGCCTGAATGCCAGAGATACACTCCTGTTTGCCCATGCTGCTTTATTGTGCTGATAGCGAAGGACATTGGTTAAAATTTGGATCTTTAGAGTGAAGGCAGGAAAACTAATTTTATTTTACATTATCGGGTTGTTCATTTGGCTGCTGTATTTCCCCTCGTTATTTGCGTATTATAAGGTATTATAAGTTTGCAGTGCACTGGGTTGGCACCCCATTCTGGGTTGTTCCCTGCCTCTCACCTGTAGCCTTCGGGTTAGGCGCTAGAGCTCCTGTTACCCTGAATAGGACATGTGGTTACAGAAAATGGATGGATGAGTAGGTATTATAAGTAATCTAGAAATAATTGAAAGTATATCCTCCTGAGACCCAAGGAAGAAAGTGTCCTTCACTTTTAGGTTTTTTGTCTTTGGAGGAAATAAGACATCTTACAATTTAGATTTTTTCAAATGTATTTTTATTTTTAATTTCACAGCATGTCCTCTTTAGTGTACAACAGGAATAAATATGTTTCCTTACATCAGTGAAAAGATAGATGCAAAAACAAAATGTCCACTACAATGGACATAAATTAATGGGTGGGGTCTCAGGAGGATATGGAAGGATGTGCATGGGTTATATGCCATTTTATATAAGGGACCTGAGGATCTGTGGATTTTAGTATCTGTGGGGGGTCTTGGAAACAGTCCTTGTAGCAATTGCAGTAAATGATGGATATTACAGTGAAAACAATAGGAGCATGATGAACAATCTAATGGACCTTGGTACCCAACCTAGATTAGGGAGACCGGGGCCTCGTCCTGGAGCCTAACCTGTGGCAGGAGCTCGATGGCAAGTGCCTGGTGGCAGGGCTTCCACCCATGGGGCCTAGCTGGGCATAGCCCAAAGGAGTAACATGGGTCCACCCTCCTGTGAGTTCACCAGCTGTAGGGGGAGCCGTGGGGGTCGGGTGCAATGTGGCAGTTGAAGGCAGGGACCTCGATGGACCGATTGTCGGCTACCAAAACTGGCTCTTGTGTAACCTCTCTGGTGGGAAAGGAGCCTGATTTTGTGCGGGAGATAGAAAGATACCAACTAGATACCTGTGCTGTGCTGGTATATATAGTATATATGGTATATATTCACCTCAATGCGTGGCTTGAGCTCTGGAACCAAACTCCTCGAGGGAGTCATGAAATATTGAGACTGAATGGGCCATGTTCCAGGACTCCATTGCTGAGGCAGCAATGTTGAGCTGTGAAGGTAAGGTTGTTGGTGCGTGTCATGGTGGCCATCCTCAAACCCGGTGGTGGACACCAGCAATAAAGGGGGCTGTCAGGTTGAGGAAGGAGGCCTTCCACTTTTGGTTAGCTTGTGGGACTCTTAAAGCAACTGACAGGTACTGGCATGCAAAACGGTAAGTGGCTTTGGTGGTTGCTG